GCGTACTGACAGTCATCAAAGGTACTGAGTATGCTCTGCACCCCATCAGTGAGGAATTTCGCAGACCATCGAGGGAAGACATTTCAAGAAGGATGTCTGTTCTCTGCTCTATGACCTGTCCGGATTCCGCGTCGAGTACCCACACTTGGTGCCGACGACCATGTAAAATATGTCAACGTTTACACAACAGACAAGTGTGCGACATATCAGATTCATCCAGGCCAATTTCGCCGACACAGAGCCCAGGACCTTCTACCCCACCGCTTGAAGTCATTCTTATCAGATGTTGAGTCACTTGGTGTACTCTACGACACCTGCGCTGGTCATGAAGCCGAAGTCAAACAAGAGGGCTCCGCAAGACTGGAGCTTCGGGCAGCAGTTTTTCCAGGTTCCCCAACATCTCACATGTTGAGAGACGTTACCCAAGAGCTGATCGAGTCTTCAATTGTTGGATTTGACCCTATTGATTGGTGGTAAGTTCAGCGTTCACCAGGTGTTCTCTTTATTAAAACAGCGTCAGGATGTTCCGCTACTGGAGACTCGCCGCACTACGATATGTTTTTTTGTCGCTGGAGAAAGCCAAACCCGAGCTGCGCGCCATGGGACCTGTGCTAGGTCTTGGTGCAATAAGTGTATGGATCAAGAACTCTCTCATATTCCGTCCAGGAGAGCAGCGCTGGGACAAAGCAATTGTGCCACCGGCGGCCTACTGGGATGCCGAAGACGAAGAAAATCTGGCCGAAGACGATGAGGTGCAGAACTTGGTGGCCGAGGGTCAGATGGGACCGGCAATTGAGGAGCGTGGACTATATTTTGTGTCGGCAGTGGAGTATGACTACGGCATCTACAGTCTTCCCCCGGCACGCGGACTCGACGCCAGGACCTACGCAATGATCTACAATTGCAACAGCTTCACTGAGCTCGAGCTGCTATTCATGGCGAGTGCAGTAAAGAAGGCAAGAAAAGAGCCGACTGCTCTTCCTCGATGCACAAAACTACGACGACGTATACCACCACGAGCACGCTCTCCGGACCGAGACATTGACTTCGGGCTAGGAGAGGCAGGTGTCAGAGTTCGCCGCCTTCCCGGCGTGGTAGGAGCTGTCGACGTGCTTGATGGAGGGCTTGACGGAGAGGTCAATGCCATCTGGCAGGACTTCCTCCGTGACATAGCTGCTGTCATTCCGTGCTTCGCAAAGGGGGGGTGCTATAGCACGCTGACTATCGACGAGTGACGAGACGCAACAGAGGAGTTGTACAAGTCCTTGTCTCTTCCGCTCACATGCGCATATGTCAAGATCGCAAGCGCCGACACGTGGGACCGCTTGTTCTTCAACCGGTTCTTTCCTAATACTGCCCAGCAAAAAGCACGTCCCGTAAAAACACAGCATTTCGGGTCCTGCCACTACTGGCTGCGGTGGCTGGTGTTAACCAAAAAGGTTGCTGCGGAAGGAGATCAAGATACTATACGCGAAACGTTGCTTACTGAGTTTCAGAAGCTCTGCTGGCTGCCTTGGTCGTCAAGCGATCGAATTTGGGACACCGACAAGCACGCAAAGGGACAGTGCGTCACGCTGCCCCGTAACCACATAGGCCCGGCACCCAAAGTAGCGATAAACGAACGTCTTATAATTCCGCTGGAGAGGGTGACTTTGAGGTAATGAGGCCGTTTACTATTCGGGCACTACGGCTTTTGCGGTCGCCAGTGGCGGGCACCAAGCAACGCCACATGAGAGGTTAGTTAGTCACTCTTGTAGTCTGGGCATGTAATATACCAGCCTTGGCCGGCGGGTTTACTGTACCCTTGCAGTAAGCTCCAGATCACGTACGTACCGGATGATATACCCTGGACGCAACTACCACGGCCTCTTATGGATTCAACGCATATCACTGAGCATCACAAAACAAATCAGGAATGGCCGCCAGTGGCGAGTGGTCCAAGGGAGTCATTTTCAGCATGAGCCAATGAATCCGAGAGCATCACCCTGCGATCGCCACTGGCAAGTCGCACTGGCGGCGCCACAAGCAATCACAAACGGCAGAAGCTCAGGGGCGGTCGCCGCTGGCGACTGCCTCGTCGCATCAACCGTCTGGCCCGCCAGCGGGGGGTGCTGCTCGCCTGAGCACCCTATGCAGACTACCCGTGCCTACGTAA